TCCCACAGCGGGAAGTCCCATATTGTAGGGTCCCGCGCGGGCGAGGCCCACGCGAGGTGCTCCTACACAGTCGGTTCCCGCACGATGGGGTCCCACACCCGGGTGTCCCACATTGTAGGGTACCAGACGGTCGGATACTACTTTGTATGGCCCCACTTCATAGAGTGCCACACGACAGGATCCCACCTGATGTGGGTCCACTCAATAGGACTTCCACGCGATATATTCCTATACATCGCGCCCCTATCATAATTCCTTGCTTTCCCCCCTCCAGCACATCAAAGTTGGGGCCCCCTTTCTGTCTATTGGACCCCTCCTGGGACCCTTTTTCGGGGGCCTTTGGGTGGGCCTCGATCGGCCGTCTGCGTGCGAAGCTTGGAACACTTGTCTCTTGGAGCTCTCCTCGGGTGCCCTGGGGACCGCTGGAGCCGATTGGGGGCCCTTCTCGGGGCCCTCCTGGGCCATATCGGGGGCACACGGGGGCTTCCTGGGCAAGTCGGAGACCTGGGGCGGAGCATCCCACCTTGTTCAACAGCCAAGGGTTTTAGCTGGTCTGGCCCTTCCTTGGCATTGTTGGGGGATCTCTTGGTGTCATTGAACACATCGTGGGGATCTCTTGGTGTCTTTTTAGATACGTTGGAGGCCATCTTCGGCCAACTTGAGCTAGCTTGCGCCAAGGAGGCGGTCTTGGATCATATCTAGTGGCCTTCGGCCCATCCCGCCATCGTGCCTGGTCTGTGGGTATGAAGCATATTGGATGTTCGTTGGGATCTCGCGTAGGGCCTCTCGAGGGTCTCTTGGAGACAGTTTTGAGGCCTCTTGGGAGCAGTTTTGAGGCCTCTTGGGGCCTCTTTCGGGCCTCTCGGGGGCCTCTTTGGGCCTCGTGGGGCCTCTTGGGGGCCTCTTGGGTCTTGGGGACCTCTTGGGGCCTCCAGGGCGCCTCTGGAGGCTTCCTGGGGGCTTCTTGGGGCGGAAGTCTTGGATTTTCAGTTCGTGCCCCCTCTCTTGGGCCACTTTCGTGACCGTTTTGGAGCGTCGGGAAGCCGAAAAGGCGAGAAGTCCCAAATCCTTCAAACACATACGGAGCGGCACTGTTGTTTGCCTCATGAGGCCGGCTTGGAAGGCTTCTTGGAGGCATCATAGGGGCGTCTTGGAGGCCACTTGGGCCATCTAGAGGCCGTCTTGGGCGTCTTAGAACGGTCGTTCGGCGACCTGGGATCCTCTTGGACCGTCTTTGGCGCCTTGTGGGGCACTCTTGGCCCGTCTTGGGCCGCCTCTTGGGCCCGAACAGGTCATGCGAGAACACCCGGGATGCCCCAGTAGATGTGAGAATTTGGAGTCCGGGCCCTTCAGATATTCATCAGGGATTAGGCACAGGACCTGAGGACACGCCCACTCCGTGCCCAGCAGCAAGGTGGCGGATCTAAAGCTATTCTAGGGGCCGCCTAGATCCATCTCGGACGTGCTAACCCTCGCGTTCCTCCCCCTCGCGTTAGCAGGGGATGGGGGTAAAGCCCGCCCCGTCGCTGAATGTGGCGAGTCACGCGCTCAAATTCGCCTGGGCAGCTGGTGAGATTGGGCTGGAGGCGCATGCAACAAAAGTTCCCTGTCGACCCGCTCGACCTCCGCCCCCCCCCCGCCGAGGTGTCAACCATGGGGGAGGGGCTGTGGGGAGTCTGTCCCTCGTTCGGCGGGCCACGTGCCGTACAGTCAAGGCGCTGAAATACGGATCAACTTGGGCTCGGGAGGTGGTCTTGCCTCCAGGCCGTTCCTTAGCTCTAAGTCGGGGGGCCTTCGTATTCGTGGCCGAGGCTCGCCGTGGCAAGAAGAGCGCTCCCCGTCCCTGGTTCGGCGCTCCCTGTGGCAGCACGATGGCTGTATATGCCTCCGGGCCAAGCCAGTCATGGGCCCAGGATCGGTGTACACGCCTCCCCTGCTTTACCGAGGAGGCCTACACACCGATCCTCTGTCTAGGGAGGAGGAGGAGGAGGAGGAGGAAGAGGAAGTGGAGGAAGAGGAGGAGGAGGGGGAGGAGAAGGAGGGGGAGGAGCACGAGAGAGGGGGAGGAGGAGGAGAAGGAGGGGGAGGAAGAGGAGGACGGGGAGCAGCACGAGGGAGGAGGAGGAGGAGGAGGAGGAGGTCCGTTGCCATTTAGCTCAAGCCGTTTTAGCTCTAGCATGTTTGGCCCAGCCAATGTGTTCCACAACGTTTTCTCTGCATTCCAATTTTAGCAATTTCAGGCGGAACAGCCAAGGCATGCCATCACGAAATCATGTATCATGATCTGAACTGTGTATGATGATGTGGTCTCGTGGTTTTACGGCTTTGACCGTGAAGACTAATTCATTGCCATCGTGCCGGATGTTAGATTCATTTGCGCTCAATGGCTTCCAAGTGCCCCAGAACAGTTCGGTCCAGAACATCAGCAGGTCTGAATTCTACGGTCCTCTGGAAGGTCCCAACAGTAAGGGTTGGGCACCGTCAGATTGGGCTTTTCAGTCTTCCGTATTGTCTCAGTCTGAAACAGATTCAATGAGGTCGGCGATCCATTAAGGCAATTTCAATCATTATTTGTCAGAGCAAGTGATGTTTTTTTTCCAAATGGCAGGGCTCAGGGAAGTGTTGCTCACTTGAAAAGGGTACGTGCGCAGGTAATGAAGACGTCCTCCTGGTTCCTTCATTCACTCTACATGTCCATCAGGCGATCGGGTACAGTGCCGTTTTTAATACATGCTCCGCGTGCGGATCATGTATTAAACGTGCAGGGGCGTAACATTAAAACAACGATGCGTTCATGCATAGGTTTATTCATAAATTAATTTAATCGCTTCGCTCATTCCGCCGGCCCATACAGTCTCATGTCTGCCGTTTGCCCGAGGGCCTGGTGTCAATGCGGCGTTTTGGGGGTTCTTTTGCCAGGCGTCTCGGGAACCTCTTGGAGGCAGTGTTGAAGCCTCTTGAGGCCCCGTAAGGGCCGTTTGGGGGTCGTTGGGGGTTTTTGTTGGGCTTCTTGGGTGGTTCTTGGGGCGTCTTGGGGGACTTATTGGCGGGATGTTGGTGGCTTCTGAGGTGCTCCTAGGGGCAGAATCCCCCTTTGGGCGCCTCTTGGGCGGTCTTGGTGCTCTCTTGTGCCGTCTTGGGGTTATCTTGGGCCGTCTTGGGCCGATTTTAGCGGATTGTTGGGCTGTCTCGGGGCGATGTTGGGGGCTATTTGCGTAGTCCGAGGCGCTGTGAAACTCGAAACGCCGTTCATGCGGGAAGTGTACATGTCCCTCTGGGAATGGGACGATGTTTGATTGTAATGGCCGTCTTGGAGGGCCTTTTGAGGCTCTCTTGGGGCTTCTTGGCGGCCTCGACGGCAATTTTGAGGTCATCTTGGGCGATTTGGAACGATTGTTCGGCGACTTGAGGCCGCTTAGATTGTTTCGGGGGCGTTCCGGTGCCGTTTTGGCGTGCTCCTGGAGCGTTCTGGGGGCATGAGCCGGACGTCGCGCTCTGGGCGGCGTGCGGAAGCCATTGTGTGAGAGGGCGCGGTGGTGAGAAGAACAGCTCGCCCCACCCAGCTTTCCGGGCTTTCCGGCGTAAGGAGGGCTTCTTCGCGGCACTTGTGAACGCTCCTGGACAGTGCTTTTTGGGCAGGTTCTTGACGCTTGTTGCAAGTCTGTAGGGGCCCCGTTGGGAGTCTACCGAAAGGAGAGCACATTGTAGCATCGCTTGCACTTGCTTGCGTGCTCGGGGGGGCATTTGGGGGGCCTCCTGGGGCCGCTTGGGGGACTCTTGGGGGCCTCCTGAGGGCCTCGTGGGGGCCTCTTGGGGCCTCTTAGGGGCCTCTTGGGGCCTCGTGGGGGCTTCTTAGGGCCGAGGGCTCGAAATGTTGTTTCGTGTTCCCTCTCTGGGGCCCCTTTGGGGGCGTTCTTGGGGCCCTTTTGGACCGTCTTGGAGGCTTCTTGGGCCGTCTTCGAGCCCTCTTGGGCCATCTTGGGGCCCTCTTGGGGGCCTCTTGGGCCCTCTTGGGGCGATCTTGGGGGCCTCTTGGGCCGTCTTGGGGCGTCGGGAACCGAAAAGGTGGAAGCTCCAAAATCTTTCAAAAACCTAAGGAAAAACAATGAATTTTGCCTCCTGGGGCCCTCTTGGGAGTGCTCTTGGAGGCCTCTTGGGGCGTCTGGGGGCTATCTTGGGCGTCTTGGAGCGATCTTGTGGCATGTCGGACCCCTCGTGTACCATCTTGGGGGCCTCTTGGGGGCCTCTTGGCCTTTCTTGGAGCTCTCGGGGACGTCTCGGAGCCCTGTTGGTGCGCTCATGGAGCGCTCTGGTGGAGTCGCCCGGGGATCAGCCGGGACCCGCCCGGGGTACTTTTCGCCCGGGGACCCCCAGGGGCCGCCCCGCGCGCGCGAACTAGAGAATTGTTAACCAGTTACCGGAGATCTTAGCACGCCTCTGGCCCGTTGGGCCGGCGAATTATGTTTTAAAATCTCATACTTTAAACATCCCATGAAGAACTGCCTTGTGCAAGTTGCATGTTTGTCGGGAGGCCACTCGCAAGAAGTCGATGTACAGTTGTTGGAACGCGATGTATAGTCGTTGCTCCAAATCTGGTCGCAAGCCTCTGGTCGTAATGCGCACGAGCTACACTCGGACAGACATCTTGAGGTAGACGTTCTTTCAGTTATATCCAGGGGCTTTCCCAATGAATTCGTATAACATATCGTAATAGGGGGTCAGGAAGCGGAGTTTCGATCTCGCCACTATACCAGAATGCTCAACGGGCTACCAAATCTGTTGGTTTGGCCTGATCCTGTTGGGAATGTCAATGCTGCGCGTTTCACATGTAGATATCGACCCGGATTTGATCCAAGCCGTGAGCGATCGATCACAATGACGTTCTTTGAAGATAATTGTGCCTCATAACTCTTTTGAGCACGACCGTGCTCGTTTGTGCTCTGAAGGCTTTTCGGCAGGAGGCACGTCCGCGCATGGCCGCTCCCGTGCACCTGCTCGAGGCCGGTGTCCGCCTGGCCGAGCTCTGGCTGCTGCGGGGGCACGCGTGCCCGCCTTGCCATTGCCCGGCCTGCCCGGCCCAGACCTGCTTGCTGACGTGCAGCGGGCCGGCCTCCAGCCACAGCGAGCCTTGTGCCGCTCCTGAGGTGGCAGGAGGCCCGAGCTGGCTCGCCCTGGGGCTGGCCGCGGCGGCCGGAGCGGGCCTCGCCTGGCTCGCCGCCTGCTGCTGGCCGCCGACGGCGCCGCTCGGCGCCGGCCTCGCCGCGGAGTCGCCGCCGGTGCCTGACCGCGCGGCGCCGCCGCCGCCGACGGCTGGGGCCGCCGGGCCAGCGACGCCGAGCCAGCTCGCGCTGCGGGCGCGAGCTCGCGATGGCCGCTCGCCCCGCGCTGGGCCTGGCGGAGCCGCAGGTCCTGATCGATTTCCCGGGCGACGCTGCTGGCCATCGCTGGCATCACCGCCTGCTCCTCATCCAGACGCCCACGCCGGGCGTCTGGATCGCCAGCGCGCCTGACTACTCGGTCCACCTCCTGGACCTCAACGCGCATCGGGTCGTCGCTTTGCCTCGCAACGGCCCTTTCCCCGCAGCCCAGCGGCACGAGAGCTACATCTTCGACAACCCCGTCCCCGCGGCGGACCTCGCCAGGATCGCGCAGCAGGCGGCCTCGCTCGCCAGTCCTCGGCCATGTCGGTCCCGCCCCGGCGGCGGCGCCGGGGGCTGCGGGTGCGCGGCGAGTCGCCGACCCCTCGCATCGCGCCTTCGGGGGCGAGATCCCGGGCCAGGTCCCGGCGGACCCCGCAGCGTTCGTCACGCCCGACGCCGCGGGCGACGAGGACTATTTGTGCGGGCTGGTGGTGATCGACAACTGTTGGACCTTCTGCCAGCTCGTGGCCGACGCGGACAAAGATGCCTGGGAGATCCGCGATCCGCTGACGGGCCAGCGGCTCGCCTCCTTCGTCGACTCCTTGGCTCTCCAGTACGCGGCCACAGACCCTCCTTTCCCCCTCGGGGGCCACAGGGTCGCTCACGAGTACATGCGGACTCTGCGCGCCACAGGCATGGAGTGGGTGACTCACCACCTGGACTTCGTCCATAAGTCGGGCATCTCGCCCAACAGCAACGTCGCAAGCACCCACCGTCGCCTGACGGACGCGCTGCACGCCTTCCAGCAGCAGGACATGCTCAACCTCCCCAGCCTCGTGGGCATCGAGGTCTTGGTGCGCTACCTGGTCCAGATCGAGATGGCGGTTGCCAGGAGCCCTCGGAGCCCCGACTTTCAGGACCTCGACGCGGATGTCGCCTCCACGGTCATGATGAGCACGGCGGCCTGGTCCTGCCCGAGCACAAGAAGTACATCGCCCAGATCCAGAAGGACGAGCTTCACGCTGAAGCAGCAGCGGCAGCGGCGCGAGGAGCAGATCTCGCGCGCGCGTGGCCGCGGCGCTGGACACGACGACGGAGCTGGCGACGGCGCTGGCGGAAGTGCGGCGGCGGCGGCCGCGGCAAGGGCCGCGGGCGCGGCCGCGATGGCGGACGTGGACGCGGCGGCCGGGACGCCCCGGCCGCCGCGATCGCATGACTCCTGTCGGCCAGGCCGCGGAGAGGCGGCGCCCGCCCCAGCGTCGCTCGGCCTTCGACTCCTCCGCGGTCTGGTTCTCTGGTGGCCGCGCGAGAGGCCCTGATGCCGAAGGGGCTCTTCGATTTTTGACTGGCCGTGCTCACGGCGACCCTTTCCCACTGCCGCTCCTGGGCAGAGCGGGGACGACGGGGGCGCTGCCACCCGGCACCTCGCGCGGCGTGCGACGGCGGTGCAACCAGGCGATCATGGCACTGAACGACCTGGATGCCCCGCTGGCGGCTGCGCGGCGTCTCGCCTCGGCCCTGCCGGCGAACGCCGCCCAAGCATCTGTTCTTTGGCGTGTTCATCAGCGAGTGGCTGCCTTCGGCGAGCCGCTCGGCGTGGACGGTGATGACTTTGCTCCATTCTCAAGTCCAAGGACATATACAGCGCTCGGCCCACACCCGTTCGGCCGTATGAAGCGCATCGTCTGAAGATCCTCGACAGCGGCATTCGGCCGCTCCCCATCCGCTCGCTGGTCCCCGACTCGCTGCTGCCGCTCATTGACCACCCCGAGAGGTTCATCTATCGGTCGCAGGCGGTGTTGGACGCGATGGCCGAGACTGGCGAGCTCACCCCAGTGTGCCCGTTTTGGGGCGCGAACCTGAGGCGGGACCCCAAGCTGCGGCTCGACGACTCTTCAAGAAACTCATGCGCATCGGGCTGGTGGGGGTGCGGACCCGCTGCCGCGCCCGCGCCAGCATCTTCTTTGTCGGCAAGAAGGACGGGTCGCTGAGGATGGTCATCGATGGACGTGAGCCCTCGGCCATGCACAGACGGCCGCCGCGGACCGAGCTCGGTTCTGCCGCCGCCCTCAGCGGCCTCTTTCTCGACGCCGACGCGATCGTGAAGGGCGACTCGGGCTACCACGGGGCAAGCGCCGACCTGCGCCAGGGTTTCTACCAGATGCAGTGGCTCGAGGTCGGCTCCTGGTTCTGTTTTGATTTTCCCATGGCCATCAAGAATTTCGGCCTAGACGCGGTCCATGACGAGGTGAGCCGCTCCTACGTCCGCGTGGACCCCGACACCGTAGTCTACCCGTGCTTCCAGGGGCTCGCGATGGGCTGGAGCTGGTCGCTCTTCATTTGCAACGCCATCACCGAGGACGTCGCGAGGATCGGCATCGGCCAGGTCCTCTCGATCCCGGCGGACCCCGTCAGGATCGTCTCCGAGCGAGCTCCCTGCGCCCGCCTCGGCCGCGGCGAGCTCGCAGGGGCCTCGTATGTCGACGACGCCAACGTCGTGGGCTCCCCGCGGGAGCTCGTCGACTCCGCGCTGCAGGCCATCCTCCGCGAGTTCGAGAGGCGCGGCGTGTCCTTCCACGAGGTCTGCGACGCGACCCAGGACTTCGTCTGCTGCGGGGTCCGCTTTGACTTCCTCCTCGGCCGCGCCGTGCCGCAGCGCGACCGGGCCTTGCGGCTGCACCGCGCCGTCGCAGCCCTGGTCGATCGCCGCGGGTGCACGCCCGCGGCCATGGAGGTGATCCTCGCCTACGTCGTCTACCACTTCATGCTCATGCGTCCCGCCCTGGCGATCCTGAGCTCTCTCTACCGCGTGGCCTACTCGGACCGCGACTACTGCGGGTTCGACGCGGAGCAGCTGCGCGAGCTCGGCCTCGTGAAGGCTCTGATCCCGCTCGCGGGCGTCGACCTGGGTGCCCCATGGCATCCCTGGGCCTACTGCTCAGACGCCAGCATGTGGGGCTACGCTCTCGCCACGTCCCAGTTCGAGCCCGACGAGCTTCGGGACATCGGGGCCTATACCGCGAGCGCTGGCGCTTCCTCGCACTCGACCGGCACTCCGACGACCCCGGGGACCTGCCGGGCGCTGAGTGCTCAACGCTGGCCAGCTTCGCTGCCGGCGCCAGTGATGACGCCGCGTTCGCCGGCCTGGGGCCGCCGCCGCCGGGCCGCACCGCCCCGCGCCGCCAGCGCGCCGCTCGGACAAAACATCGAGACGGCCCCAGCCGCGGCATGCCGGGGCGGCATCCCGGCCTTGCCAGACTCTGTTCTGGCGGCTCACAGGTGGCAGCTCGTGGTCCGCGGCGCCTTCCTCTTCGGCGCGCCGATCCACGTCCTCGAGGGCCGCGCGACCCTGCTGGGGCTCCGCCGAGCCTCGCGGTCCGCGGCGGCCCATGGATGCCGCGTACTGTCGATTGGTGACAACCTCTCGTCCATGATGGCTTTCGAGAAGGGCAGGTGCGGCAGCCCTGTCTTGCGGCAGCTGGCCTGCCAGGCTGCCGCCGGGCAGCTTGCGACGGGCGCCCAGCACTACCACCGCTACTCGGAGAGCAAGCGGAAACCCACCGACTACGACTCCCGGGCTGCCGACCGCTCCGAGCTCGCGCCTGGCCCGACGCAGCGGGGCGCGGCTCGCGACCTGGGCATCGCCGTCAGCGCGCCGCCCACGGTGCAGGCGCCGCCTGGCGGCCCGGCCGCCGCGGTGAGCGCGCGGCGCGTCGCCCCCCGGCGCCGACGGCCCTCCCGCGGGCCAGGGCGCCGGGCCCCACCTGCTCGGCAGCCGGCCGCGCGCCCGCACCAAGGTTCGGAGCGTCCTCGAGCTCTACGCCGGCTGCGCCCGGCTGACAGCCGCTTGCCTCGACGCGGGCCTCCAGGCATGGGCCCCCGTCGACGTCTCGCACGGGCCCTGGCACGACCTGACCGACAAGAACGTGATTGGCGTGATCCGCTCGCTGATCGTTCGCCGAGACGTCTGGCACGTCCATCTCGGCGCGCCCTGCACACCTTTCAGCCAAGCTACCCCGGCGAGGAGCAGGGCAAAGCACATGTCCTCGGGCAGCAGCTCGGTCGCTTTTACGCTGGACATCCTTCGCCTGTGCCTTCGCTTTGGAGTGAGATGGTCCGTTGAGAATCCTTCAGCATCCCGTCTTTGGAAGTGCCCCGAGGTCATCACTCTCTTAGAACGTCATCGTCATTACTTCGTCCACATGCATTACTGCCACTACTACTGCCGCTACCTGAAGCCCACCACCATCGTCACATATCTGAAGCCTCTGGAGGCCCTCAGTGCCAGCTGCTCCCGCGATCACGTTCACGAGGTCCTTGAGGGCCTGGTTTGGCTCGGCCCAGGGAAGGGCACCGCCTGGAAGACAAGTCTTGCTGGTCGCTATCCAGAGGCGCTGGCTCGAAAGTGGGCCGGCATCTTGCAAGCGCGCGCCCCTCGCACCGCACGGGTCGATGGCCCTCACCCTCGATGCCGCGGGGGGGCTCGCCTGGCAGCCGCCGCTGGAGTCGCCGACTGGCCGGCGACGCCTGACCCTGTCTGCCCCCTTGCCGGCCACCAGGAGTGGCGACCAAGTCAGGTCGGCTGGGGCAGCAGCGTCTCGCAGGCCCAGGCCGCCGAGCGCTGCCGCCAGCGCCGCTTCAAGGCGGGCCAGCGCGCGCCGCCGCCCGCAGAGCCAGCGGCTCCCTGCGGCGTCGGCGCGCCTTGCCCTGGCCGCGGCGCCGCTCGGCCAGACCCGAGCGCGGCGGCCGCGGACGGCCATCGGCAAGCAGCGCGCGGGGCACAACGACGCGGCCCGCGTGGACTTCCTAGCCAGGCGCCGCGTCAAGCCGCTGACCCAGCAGCACTACATGAAGGCGGCGGCCGAGGTTCGGCGCTTCGCGGCCCTCCGCCACTACCGCAGCCAGACGGCCGCGCAGAGGGACAAGCTGATGGTGGACTACCTGCAGCACATCTTCTTGGCGGGCGACGGGATCTTCGCCGCGCGCATGGCCCTGCACGGCTACGCCTTCGAGGAGCGCATCAACCTCAAGGAGGCGCCCGAGTTCCCGCAGGCGCGCCTCACGCTGAAGGGCCTCTCCACGGCAGCCCCCGGCGAGCAGAGGGGCCCATGCCCATGGGAGGCCGCAGTGCTCATCATCGAGCCGTGCTTGAGCTCGCCCGACCTTCAGCAGCGGCGGCTCGGCGCGGCCGCGGCGATCGCCTTCGACGGCCACCTGCGTCTCTCGGAGCTGCTGAGCATCAAGAGCTGCGACGTCACCTGCCTCCGGCACTCTGCGACGTCGGGCGACCCCCAGGTCTCGATCACCCTGATGCCGAGCGCGCCTCCCGACGCGCCGCCGTCGACCACCGCCAAGTCAGGCGAGTGCGACGACGCGGTTACCTTCGGCGGCGGCGGGTCCGGCACCGCGCCCCGCCGCTGGGTGGCCAGGCTGCTTCGTGACCTGAAGGCTGCTACGCCCGGCACCAGGCCTCTCTTTCCGTTCACTGCCCGCGAGTTTCAGCTGGCTTTCCGCCGGGCGGCTGACGGCGCCGGGCTTCAGAAGCTCAGGCTATGCCCGCACTCCCTGCGCCACGGCGGCGCCTCCTCAGACTTCGCTTTGAAAGCTCGGACCCTTGCAGAGGTGCAAAGGCACGGGCGCTGGAAGTGCGCCGCCAGCGTGCGGCTCTATGAGAAGGCCGGCCGCCTGACCAGCCAGCTGGCCAAATTGTCTCGCCCGCAGCTCTCCGCAGCCGCGCTCGCCTCTCGTAAGTTGTCCGCGAAACCTTCTTTCCAGTTCTGCGGCCAGAGGACAAGGTGATCTCGCTTCTCGGCCGCTCGTCACCAGCTCCC